CGCGAGAATTCGTAAGAAAGAAGGAGCGTCTGCGTCGCCGTTCTGTCGCTTCCGCAGAGGTATTTTCTCATATAAGTCCGGCATTTGTCCTTCTTGATTTCTTCTGATTTTCCGTCCCTGCTCTTCTCCGAAGTACCCTAATGAACTGAAAGTTGTTGATCCCTGTAAGATATCGTTATACCAAAGCTGTTAGTGTGAGAGTGGTCGTCCGAGGTACATGACCATCTTTGTCAAAAAGAAACTGAGAGTCTTAAAGTTACTCAAACATAAGGAAAGATAATTTCCAGATGCATGTGCACAGATACGCAGATAAATGGCTCAATTCACTCCAATCCGAAGAGTAACAAAAATTTTCAACAAAACAACAACACAGCGGTGCGGGATTGATGCGGGACAGTCTCATCAACAGCCACTGGCCGGGCGGCCAATCCAAATGAACATGTTCGGCAACAACGTCAATGCTATTGTCGGATCTTCTCTAGCTGCAGTCAAAGTGATTTTTGGTTCGAACGTATGCTTTTTTATCTTTTGAAGTAAGCTGTACAGAGCCGAAAAGGAGCTCAGCTATGGACACTTCCGCCAGAGCGCCGAGAGAAGAACAAGAAGAACAACAAAAGCCGGAAACAGTCCATGAAAGTCGCTCCTTTGATCATATTATGGGTTCATTTGGGTTCTAAAAATTATTTAAAATTAAAACAAGCTAGGGCCCGCCCTTCCGTCGAACCGAGTTGCCAGCTCCGCTTCGCTGCGCCGGCAACTCGGTTCGACAGGGGGCCGGCCCAGCTTGGCCTGCCGGTGGCCTTTCCTGGGGCCTTCGGCTCTCGCATCACACCCAACTTGGCCAGTCGAAGGCCCGGGCCTTCGGCCCGCTCGCATCACGCACACACCGTGAGCGGGTAAAGCAAAGTTATCGATGTACCATCGTGACTTAGGCCCGCCCTTCTATTCACAATATGCAATAGACCTTACACTTTTTACTCCAACTGTCCTTAGAATAGGCCCATTTCATTTGTCTCTTCGCCCTCATTCCTAAAATACCCATATTTGCCATGCTACTGCAACTCCTTGCAATAGAGGCACAGCAGGAGCGCAAAACGAGTCCGTCGCACTTTTTCCCATAACTCATGAAGGCGGGCTCCTAGACCCCACTTCCGACCCCTCGTTGAAGAGGTCTTGCCAAGACCTATCCAAAACTTAAGTAACAAGGTAGGTGTACGCCAGACTGTGTCTTGTCGTAACAGGCTTCGCGATGCTGCGCCAGTTTCGACAATCCACGCCTGGCGTAAACACCTACCTTGGCCTGCGGCGCTAACCTGCCTTCGGCAGGCTGCCTTCCTTGGAAGACCGTGGAAATTAGCGTGATCCCCTCAGAAAGAGCATTTGGTCATCAAAATCTTCACTTATAGGGCTAAACTTTCGGTCGGAGGTCTGAATGGGTTCTATTTTCGTCATCAGCAGCCTCAAAAACATTTAAAACGACATTGAACTTGACAAAAAGTTGAAAGTCCCCAAAAAGTTGTCTTTTTCCTGCCGTTTTTAAAGTGTTTTTTGGCTAATATGACCGAATGGATTGAGATAGAAAGCTGAATTTTGGTGTGTGGCGAGCCAAGGATATGCCCTATGACCCTGCAAGGCCGAGCCGTTTAGGAGGAGTAGTGCAGACACACAGACAGACAGACATGAAAAACTTTTCAACCCCACTGGAGTAACAGGCTTCGCTATCGCTCAGCCAAAAATTTTCAGTCGACCCCCTTTTTTCAAGATCCTGATGTGACTGATAGACGAAGTCGGGCTCCTGGACCCCCTTTCCGACTCCTCGTTGAAAAGGTCTTGCTCAGACCAATCGAAATCTGCAATAATTTTTTTTAGTCGGTCGACCCCCTTTTTTGAAGATCCTGATCTGGCCAACTTGTAAAAGCGGCCGATGGGGTCGGGACCAGGTCCGTTCATCTTGTCTCGTCGCCCCGATTCCACAAATACCCCTATGTGCCCTGCTAGCACCAATAATGGCGGAAATCCCCCTCCCGCTCATGTAAACCATGATGCACCTACAGCAGCCCTTGTGCGACCCGGACGGGATTTGCACCACCGGATTTTTTGTTTGGACGGTACTCCTGAAGTACCCTCCAAATCTGGTTACTCTAGCTCAACTCCTTCCTTGTACACCAACAACAACACCCTCCCCCTATTTATTGAATAGAAGGGCGGGCCAAAAAGACGAGTTTCATGATAGTTAACAGTCAAAACCTATAAATAAGACATTTATGGTAACTGGTTCCTGAACCATTTCTTCCTTTTGTTCTTCACTCGGCGTTCTGGTGGTTCCACTTCCAAGTGTCTATTGGTCGGGTCCGGCTCGGCTCCCCCCACTTCCTTCCTTTCTCCTTGAGTCGAGTTTTGCCATGAAAACAGTGATTTTAAGAGCAACTTTCTCATAACTGGCCATTAGCTTTTTATTAAATAATACCCACATTTCAACATTGGAATCACCGTTCAAAGTTCTACCAGTCTGCAAAATCTCATTAAAAAGCTACAGAAAATTTTCAAAATGCATAAGGGGTCACACGAGTTGTATCTCGCGCCGGCTGAATACTGGGGATACTCAGGCTACTTCGTGCCTAACAAGCGTCGTTTTCGGTGCAAACTACCCCTCACTTCCCCTTCCAGCGCCTCTTTGAGTGGGGGTACCAGTCCCAACCAGCATCACATCGCTCGGCCGGACCCGAGGGGGTAAACACTTCAAGAAATCGTGTACAGACTACGTCGTATTACGGAGGTATTACACGTGTATTACGGCCTAAAAATGCAAAATTTGGCACATTCGACCCGAAAAAGGTATTACGACCTCGTGTATTACGCGTAATACACGGTTTTTGTGTACAGGGTATTACGCAAGTGGTTACCCCCTCGGCCGGACCTCGCTTCGAAGGTGTCCAAGTTTCAGACATACGCGACACAAGCAGACGACCGTGGTGCGACGCAATGATGTGCCGGCACTTGACGGCGGTGGACTCGCCGGCCCGACGGCACGCGATGCGCCGTGCAGGTAGGCAAGCCAACTCACTCGGCCGCGACAGGGCCCAAGTGGATCAAAAGTGATTCGGAAGCAAGATTAAGGCCAGTCAGCCTCTCCGGCGGTGGGAGACATAAAAATTAGGTTGTCTTAAGTTTTAGGTCTATACTTTTGGTTTGGACCATAAATGTGAAGAGACTGTTCCATGCCATCCAGGATCATGCTACAAGCACAAAGAAGTATTTTGAGTAACAAAATGCATATTTAAAATGTTACTTTGAAGAAGTATCCAAAGTAGCATTAAAACGTCGAACCATTGAATTGCACGGCAAAAGTACCGCCTGGGAATCCCAGGCGGTACTTTTGCCGTGTGGGTTTGTAGCATAGTCGTTGAAGACGTTTTCGGTGGTTGGTAACATACCCACTAAATACAAGGTAGGTTTACGCCAGACCGCGTCTTGTCGTAACAGGCTTCGCGATGTCTCGCGGCCTGTTCCTCCAATCCGCGTCTGGCGTACCTACCTTGGCCTGCGGCGCTAGCCTGCCTTCGGCAGACATTGGCTTGTCCATCGTCGGTTACTTCTTACGTGATGCATGCTGAGGGGCTCCGCCCCCCAGACTCCCCTTCATTCTAGAAAGAGTTGCTTCATCTACAGATAACACAATCTGGACCCTTGTCACTTTATAACTTGTCGGGGCTGGGGGCTCCGCCCCCCAGACCCCCCTTCTTCAAGGCAGAAGTGATCTGCCTGCAGAAATTCGATTTTTCGCCGTTTTTTAGGTGTTTTTTGGCTGTAAAAACTGAACCAGTGAGCCAGGATAGTGAAATTCGCGTGTGCCGAGCCAAGAACATACCTAATAAGCCTGCAAAATCTCAGCCAGATCGGCCGAGCCGTTCAGGAGGAGTAGTGTACACACACACACAGACAGACACACAGACAGACAGGAAAAACTTTTCAACCCCACTGGAGTAACAGGCTTCGCTATCGCTCAGCCAAGAAGGACGATCGGAGGGAGGCGGTCGTGGCACAAAGCGTTTTTTCTTAAACAAGGTAGGTTTACGCCAGACAGCGTCTTGTCGTAACAGGCTTCGCGATGTCTCGCGGCCTGTTTCTCCAATCCGCGCCTGGCGTACCTACCTTGGCCTGCGGCGCTGGCCTGCCTTTGGCAGGCATTGGCTTGTCCGTCGGCGGTTACTTGTTGCATGCTGGGGGCTCCGCCCCCCAGACCCCCTCAAATAGATAGAGTTGCTTCATCTACAGAGAACACGATCTTGACCCTCGTACTTATTTACTTGTCGGGGCTGGGGGCTCCGCCCCCCAGACCCCCCTTTCTTCACGACAGAAGTGATCTGCCTGCAGAAAACTCGATTTTTCGCCGTTTTTTAAGTGTTTTTCGGCTATAAAAACTGAACCAGTTGAGCTAGGACAGTGAAATTTCGCGTGTGGCGAGCCAAGAACATACCTACTAAGCCTGCAAAATCTCAGCCAGATCGGCCGAGCCGTTCAGGAGGAGTAGTGTACACACACACACAGACAGACAGACAGACGGACAGACAGACAGACAGACAAAACTTTTCAACCGCACTGGAGTAACAGGCTTCGCTATCGCTCAGCCAATGAGACTACTCCGGATGTCGCTGTTCTTGAAACTTTCTCGTTTTGGCTACATGAGGTCACCGAAAGGGCGAATCAGTTTTTACTGTGTCGGCATGTATCAAAAGAACATGACGAACTTTTAAAGATCATAGAAATAGCAAATAGCGTATCTTCCAGACTGTTGCGTCGCTTCGTAACCTTTCCTAGTCGACAAGGTCGGTGGTCGTGGTGTTTCGCAGGCGTGGAAGGCCTCTTTAGATTCGCTTTATATACTATCTGGCTAGTAACTGAATTTACAATCAGTGAGGCTTCGAGTGGTTTTTTATCGTTATCATTACACAGATAGTCAGGGAGGAAAAAGGCCCCAAAATCACTGAGGGGGAAAACTACATCGCGCAACGGCCTTATCTGTCCGCATATATTGGATTGAGACATTGCTCAACAAAGTGAGCCGGGTGTCCGCTCACTGGTATATTCACCATGGCACCGTACTTCGTCCTGGCAGCGTTGGTGTGCGTTGCGGTTGCGGCACCACAGTTAGAGGGTGAGTGAAGAATATCGAATTTGAAACTGGTGCGTATCTTTTAGTAGTACCCTGCAACGTAACGAAATCGTTTTTCAACGTTTTCGTCAAAATCTTGCAAATGGCTCACACTGTAGAAATCACAAAGTAAAACAAGATGAGGAGAACTAACTTTGTAGAATTGAATCGGGGGCTGAAGTGGCTAAATTGTTAATCTTGAGATGGGGCTCTTGCCGTTTGTTGGGTGGTTATGGTTAACATTAATATTCAATCTTCAAACTTTTCCCACGGACTATCAAAATGCATCCAGACAGTACCTCCAAATTCGGACTCGATACTGACGTTTCGTGCCTTCTACTGGTATAAACCTCGAAGTCTGTTCCTTCATTGAAGTAAGGTTTCTTACTGTCAAACTAGTGTTGGAAAAATGACGTATTAGTTTATATCTCAATATCCGATTACATCCTTTCCTTATGATACGTACAAGAGAATACCGAGATAAAATACCCAAAATTAGAAAAATTTTACTATACTAAAAAAACGCCGAAAAAAATAAAAACACATTTTTACGTCTTTTTCCACCTTCTCAACACTAGTCAAAACTCAGCTGACAGAACCCTACACTGTAAATCCAAGTGTAGGACAAGTCGACACCGGGCGGAGACAAGTTTGTCCTACGCTTGCAAGTGTCGACCACAGCAGATATCAGACAGGCTGAAGTGTGGCGTGGGGCCACAATAGGAAACTAATTGTAGTTTTCCGTAGGATGTAAAGAAACGCACGCAGGCGTCAGACTGAGTGGAAGACGCACTTGAAAGCGTTGGACACATCTGGCCTAGGCCTACTAGTGTCGAATTGTCCTACGATTGGATTTGAAGTGCAGTGATAAGGTTAACATAGTCCAAAACTATCAAACGAAGCATTCAGAGTCTCAGCTGAGCCGCAATATCAGAATTTCTGACACCAGGTTTCAGACCTCTAGCCGTCAATATCAAGGATACTGTGGAGTGAAACTAGCATGTCCTAGAAATATTTATCACAGGAAGATTATTTTGTGGCCAAAATTCAACCACTGAGATGAATTTATTCCCGAAGTAAATATAGGAGTGTATGGTAAATATTGCAAAACTTTGTCAGGACTTTGGAAACGTAATGGTCGGACACATGGCCATATTATGGCGTGACAAAAAGTCACGCCAAAAATTGGCGTGACACGAAATTCACGCCGAAAAACGGCGTGACGTGTGAGTCACGCCCTCATTTGGCGTGAAGGACAACGCGTTTTATGGGACAAGTCACGCCCAAAAGCGGCATGACAAGAAATTCACGCCGAAAATTGGCGTGAATTTCTCAGTCACACCGATTTTTGGCGTGACTCTTCTGTCATGCCGTTTAATGGCGTGACACTTAATTCACGCCCCTGCAGTGGCACGAAGTCACGCCGATGAGCGATTCTCACGTTTCGGGGTAGTTTTGATGCCCCCGTTTGCCCCAAAGTAAAAGTGATTGAAACCGGGTTTTTTTCTGTTTTCCTGTTTATTAGGGTATAGTAGAGGCCCTTCACGAAGTGGCTAAGCTTGGGCGCCAGTTTTGGCCCAGCAGGAGCAGTTTAGAAATTTTTAGCTATCACGGAAGTTACACCGTGTATTTTATTGATCACGGAAATTACAAAACAGTTGATATTTTTCCCTTCTATCTCTCCCATTGCAACTGGTGTCTTGTTTCTGGTTGGCGTTTGCATGTCTGAAGAAGCCTGCAGAGACCCTAACGCCTGTGAAGGTTGGCTAGGCCACACAATGATCCAGAAATCTCAAAACGCGGAAAAAAATCCTGCGGTGGCCAGATTGGTAGAAAAAAGTTCTGAACTGTGTGTTGTTACTAAAATAAGCATTTTAGGTCGGTATTGAGGCCGTTTTCGAAAAGGCACTTGAAAACTCATCAAGAACTGAAATTTCGACGCTTTTTCATGCAGTTTTTCACATGTTTCCTTTAGAAGGAGTTGTCCTACAGGGCTCGTCTTAGGCTCAAACGAAAGCTTATAAAATTCCGCATTTTTTGACACCCCAGCCGTAACGCTAGCATGCTTATATCTTGTGCATTGCTTCAAACGAGGGGGTATGCGCTCTCTGAACCTGTGCACCGTCTATTACGCTATTACGCTCTATTACGCCACAAATTAATCGGAATTTAGCTAAAAACGGCCTAAAACACACCAAAATTGATAAAATTTTGACAATTTCGGCTATTACGCGACTATTACGCGTATTATTACGCGTGCTATTACAGATAGAGTGAACCGACTATTACGCGAGTGCATACCCCCTCGGCTTCAAAACAGTTCAAATTTTTATATTTTTCTACATTAAATGACTCAGAAATTTTTAATTACTTGTCGGAGCCTACAAAATGTATTGGTCTTTGATTATTTTTTTACAAGGAATCGAATGGTGTATCTGGAAGTCGGTTACCAGCAACAGGAAAGAAGTTATTAGACATTTTCCGGACTCACAAACATTTTCGGGCCGATAAATCGCAATGGTGCTCCATCAAAGAGTTGTCCTACGAAACTCTCAGTAGTATCAATCGAAAGAGAATACGATTCCGCAACTTTTAAGACCCCAGCCGTTTTGATATCTCATTTAGTTCTCGAGAAATCACCCAAAAATCTATTTAGGAGCATCAGACCCAACTTAAGCCCCCCTCCACTCTTATGTTCAAATTTTTTCCCGATCAAAACCATCTTGTCAACGGCCTTCTACTATCCCAAAGACTCCATTTCGTCTGTAAAATTTGGCGTCAGAATTTATGATCCACCTTACTGAGGGCTGCGTCGTCTAACGCCATCAAGAGCAAAAATGCGAAATTTCGAGTTTTTCTCTATCTTTGGCATCAATTTAGGCCCAGAGCCGCAAGTGGCCGCACCCATCGTTGACGGATCCTTTTACTACACCCTAGTGGGAGTCAAATGCCACTTAGGACACAACAACAGCTCACAACAGTCAAGAGATAGGGACCATCAAAAATCAAGATATTGCTGTTTTTTAGCGTTTAAAAAACCGCTATAGTTGCAACACAGACGTCCTAAATGTGAAAGCCGGCACTGGCATCTTGAAGAGGGCGTCGAGACGTTTTTGAAAACATATAAACATTATGCATTTCGACTTTGCATCACAAAGATACACGAGTTTAAAGTTAACACAAATTTACAACAATGCAAAGTATTAAAAACACTTAACTTTGAGGCCAAAAATCACTATAAATGCATTCTTGAAGCTCAAAACTAAGTTCATATTCGTTTTCTCCAGACATTTTTCTATTAAAATCACCACTTGGATTCATGAAAATGCCAAAAAAAATTTAGAGGTTTTTTTCCGCGTTTTGACATTTCTGGATCATTGTGGGCCAGCCCGCATGACACGGGTGTGAGAGGTGTTGCCTAACGGCCAGGCGCTCCGGGTGAGTGCTGATTGCGGCACTCGATCACACATTATCGTTTGTCTTTTGGGCCCGGCCCATATTGTACGTGGCCTAAGGAAGGATCTCTGATACAAACGAGGTATTGATTCAGAACACGAATATATATTAATAGCTTTTAAGGACAGAGAAAAACAAAATGTGTAAATTTAACACAAATTTAAAGAAAATATTGAAAAGCTCTTTGAAACATAAATAACAAAAATAATTAATTCGTGGCAATTAGAAGTTAACAAGAGTAAAAAGCTCTTCAAACCTAAATAAGAAAAAAAAATCAGTCAGTGAAAAGTTCTTTGGAACATAAATAACAAATAATAATAATAAAGTCATGGTAATTAGAAGTAAACAATAGCGAAAAGCTCTTCAAAGCCTAAATAAGAAAAAAAATCACAGTAGGTGAAAAGCTCTTTGAAACCTATACAAGGAAAAAAAAGTCACAGTAACTAGAAGGTTTCAAGTATTAGTAGTACTTCACAAAAAGAACAACTGATCAACATATGACATTAATGGTTAAACTTAACAGAAAAATCACAGAAAAATCACAAGTAAATAATAATTAAACATTGCGGCATCTTAAAACTCTTGTTGATGGCTCAATATTCTTTGGTTGGCTGCAGTGAGGTGCATTTTCTTTCCTCCCTTTTTCTTTGGAAGTAGAAGACACGGCTTCCTTTGGCTGGCCATCCAGGGGTCCATTTTCTTGATTGGCAGCGTTCTTAGTGGACTTCTTTGTGGTGGATGCTTTCTTGGCAGTAGAAGCTCCAGACTTCTTGGAGGGGTTGTCATTTTTCTTGGCAGCAGAAGCTCCAGATTTCTTCTTGGCGGGGTTGTCTTTTTTCTTGGCAGCAGAAGCTCCAGATTTCTTCTGGGAGGGGTTGTCATTTGACTTAGATGGGGCTTGCCTCTTCTTTTGTTGTTTCAGTTTCAACTCCCACTTCCCCAAAAGAAAATGTGGGCAGTAAGAATCACACGAATAGCAGCTCATACTTCGCATTGTCAGTTCTGTTGGCTTCTCAAAAGTCCATTCAACCTGGTGGACTTGTTGTGTTCCAGGAAAAGGCTCGACTTCTGGTATTGCCTTTGACTCTTGAATGGTCTCTTCAGGAATAAGTTCAAAGTGCGTCACTTGACATTTGGATCTCAAAATATCCATAGCGGTCTCAATAGTATTCACATCTTTGCCATGGGCAAGTTCTGAATCTAACGCTCTTTTTGCTACTCCGCCAACTGCATCAGCTTCACTTTTTCCATGGCCACACTCTGAATAGTTCCAAGTGATGAATTTTATCTGAGGTGCGAGTGCACAAATGCTCTTACAGATTGTGTAGAACATATTTCTGCTGCGATACTGAGTTGAAGGCCCATCACTTTTCACGTGCAAATGGGTTGTTTTCTCTGTAACATGTCTCTCAAGTATGGGTTTAATATGAGCCACAATTGCAACAGGGTCATGCCGTTTACTTTTGGAGACTGTGCAAAAGGTTTCTTTAGTTCCGTCTGACTTCTGAACCATGCCGGTGTGAAGAGAGATTTCCCTGTTGCTGCTTCCGAAGTGAGCACTTTGAATTTCAGAATGGCACCTCAGAGTGTAGTTTTCAGACCAGTCCATTACAATGAGGAGGTCCTCTTCAGTCATATTATCTGCCTTTGATTTCCATATGTTTCTTTGGTGCACAATCCTTCCTTGGTGGTCCAATTGCTTCTTTAATAGAATTTCCATTTTATCTACAACCTCATGTATAAAAGCTTTGCGTTCAACTTTTTTTGTTACCTTCACAATAACATTCTTCTTTGTTTTAGAGCTTATTCTTGTTTCTTTCTCTGTGACCCACTCTTTGAATTGCATTTCATCTGCAGGACTGAATGTATTAAATGTCAATGATTTTGCCCCACATACTTCACACTTTCTGAAAAGACAGTCTTCATTGTATCTGTCACAACAGACACTGGCTAAAACTTCTTTCCCAGAGGCCTCGTCGATAATCTTGTGGAACTTCAGTGCCTGACAGAGAAGGTCGAAATTTACACATTTGGTGCACAAGCAGGTGTCACGCCCACTCAGTTTCGGTGTTTCCACTGAGGGAGGAGCCAACCGACAAAATGAACTGTAACTAATTTTATAGGGAGAGGATGACGAGTAAATTTTGTACAATGCTTTCCTAGAATCATTTAGATACCTTCTTTGCACCTTCTCGCCATTAACTTTCACAAAACATTTCTTACCAGCAGAGTAGTGTGATGCAGTTTCACTTAGAAAAAATGCTTCAACATTGTCCTTTATCTTTGAGGAGTTCACACTGGTAGTCTTCTTGACATATTCAGGTACACTTCTTCCCCCTCCATTGAATTCTCTAGCAACCTTCATGCTCTTCACTGGCAGCAACTTTCTGAACCGTCCTAGGCGTTTGTATCTTTTGAGTATTTTCCCGCTTACAATTTTGGAGAAGATCTTCTTTTCAGCTGTATTGCCTTTGCCGAAACTCTCAGAAACATCTTGAAGCTCCGCCTCCAGTACAGCACCATCCATAAGCTTTTCTCTGACATCATTTGATACAAACTGGCCTTGAGTAACCAGAGCTACTTTGGAACGAGGGCTCTTCACTGGTGATGGTATCTTTTGTTTAGTACGCGCAAGAGCTTTCTGCAGCCTCCAAACATCTCTTTGAAGAGCATTATTTGCATTTGATAGTCTTTGGTTTTGTAAATAGTAGCTCCTCTTGTCTCGGCGAACAGCTTTCCTCCCAGCTGCTTGTTGTCTGGATTGACTTCCTGCCCCCAAAACGGTTCAAATTAGGACATGACATCTGAAGCACAATAGTAAAAAAAATTATAAATAACGTAACTTACTTTCATTCATAGAGGTGCCTTGGCTTTCATCATTGGTAGTGCGAAAGGTGCCAGAAGAAGATTCATCTTGGCAATCATCATTAGGGTCATCTGTATAATAAACAAAAATTTAAAGTAAATAGTGACACAATAAAGAAAATAATGACAACATATTTTAAATGTGTTACCTTCTGTTCTCTGACAATTGCGTTTGCGGGCTCTATATTGTTGCATATATTTTCTCTTGCTTGAACGGGCTGCACGCAGCTCTCTTTCATTCAGGTCCTTCCGTCTTTTAATTTTCCCTCCCTCTACAGATCTAGCCTTTCTGATTCGGTCTTTTTCTTTGCTCTCTTCATACTTGGCAAGATTTCCTTTGATCTTATCTCTGTATCTTTGTTGTGCTTCTCGTCTCTTCTGTAGTCTCATGGTGAGTGACTTGTTTACTTTCTTCCGAACAACTTTACCCCTGGCTTTGTTTTTCTTCTTGAACCTTCTCTCCTGAGACTTGGCCTTGTTTCTAGCAGCATGACTGCGCAGGGAAGTCATGTTTGGCACCTGTAACAAAACCAAAAGCACTTCAAGTTACTTGTTTCTAGCTGTATGACTATGCTGGGAAGACAGGTTTGACACCAGTGACCAAAGCAAAAGCGCTCTAAAATACATAGACGACCTAACCTAGCGAAGTGATGTGACATCAGCTGTTAAAATTTTGAAGCTTGAAAAGCTTGTCAAGCATGGCAGTCACCAGCGAGCAAGAACAAACTCGCTGGAATAAGCAAAGTATTGAAAATGGGTGATTTGATCACGGAAATTACATTATCACGGAAGTTACAAAACATAAAAATCGTCCAAAACAGCTGATTTGAGCTAGTTGAGGCTTGTCAGTCGTTGCGGGGTCAAATGACATCCCAAACCGGACATTTTCACGGAAAAATTTTTTCCCAAGTCGCATTGCAACATTGGGTAACGGGTGCCACGGAAATTACAGGTAATTGATGATACACACCTTTTTACACCCTTTGAGCCCACGCCGAGGACGCCTTCGACGGTTTGAACGCTGCCGTCCCGCGTATTTCTACTCCAGGTACTCCACCATGTTAGCCAACATCGACAAAATTGAAAAAAAGTGTGCAGGGGGAATGCCAGAGTGATATTTATCTAATTTGTGCAGTAAAGTTGAACACACGGAGGACATTCTGCGATGCAGCGAGAGTACCTTAGTTAAGTGTCTCGTGTTTCGCTCCGTGGGTGAAATCAACTCGTGACATGACAAGCTTTGAAGTTTCAACAACAGTTGGCAGTATTTTCATAAAGCACCAGTACACCGGGGGCGCGAAGTTCGAATAAGTAGCCGTAGGACAATCACGGAAGTTACATTTTGGGTATTTTGAGGGCCAGGGCATAGAATCCAACATGGGTGAACATCTCAAAATGTGTGGGAAAAGTAGAAAATGACACCCCCTAACTCATGAAAAAAACCCCATGTCGATATCTGCTCTCGTTTGGGCTCGGGGGTCCAAAGAAGCCAAACTACCCCGAAGTGTGAGAATCGCTCCGATAGATTTTCAGTGGATTTAGCATTGCTAGTCGTTTCTAATGCTAATAAGGGACGAAAACATTTAAATTATCTAGAATAACAGTATTTTCTCATTCTCACCTGTACTGATGTACACCGTGATTCACCCCTGCCGTCCATCGAATCAATTCTACATTGTGCGAAAAAACTACAGTAAATCTTGTAGCGATTAGTACAGCTGTCACTGTAGTTCAGAGTACAGGATTTACTGTACTTTTTATACAGAATCTACTGTACTTTTACGGGATTTACTGTGCGACAGAGTTGGAGAGCGGAAAATCCTGTACAAGGTACAGTATATCCTGTAGTCAAGTACATTAATTCCTGCTAATTCCTCTATTCTGAACTACAGTAGACACAGTGTAACTTGGGCACTCAAATCAGTGTACAAAGCACCTGGTTCATAAATGCGAAGAAACAGAAGGCACTGCAAAAAGTACATCTTAATGCGAAGAAATCTTTTGCTTTGCGAAGAACTTCGCTTCTTAATGCGAATAACGAACAAAATGTCCACGTAGAATTTTGTGTAACTTGCACGATTTAATTTTGTGCATACGTGGAATTGGCATAAAATAATGCGTAAAAATGAATAAATTTGTGCAAATTGAGCACAATTTTATGCAAAATGTTACGCAGGTTTAAGATCATGTATCATCATGTACAAAATTGTATATAAACAAATAGCGTGTACGAAGCGTGCCCGGCCCGACAATGCACTCATTTTCTTCTCAGAATTTTTAGGGCGACTTTCCTATTATGTTGTTTGTTTTGGACGAGAAGTTGGGGCGTCATGCAATGCGACAGATACGCTCCAGAGTTGTGGCCCCATAAGGCCCTACAGGGCCACAACACTGTATACCAACTCCAAGGATTTGGCCAAAACTGATCATGATTCTGAAAATGTTAATCGGTTGCAGATGCTACATGTGACTCTGGCTCCATCCGCTCGTCTTCTGGCGAATGCCAAAAGGTTTCTCGCCTCCACCATGGACTAGGTGCAAGTTGTGAGTGTTGAAAACCGCCATACGTGCCCACCCCCGTCGGTGGGGCAAACCATGTTAAGCGTAAGGAATAAGGAAATAAAATATGTGAGAGCCAGGGCCGCAGGGCCGTGGCCTTTGAGGACAATGATGAGGGGGAAACAAGGAAGAGGATAGACCTCTTTGCCGTTCCCACGTGGTACCCAGCTCCCTTGACCACCGTTGCCTAGCAACCACGTGCGGATACAGGTGGGCGCATGCCCCCCCCCCCAACTGTGGGAAAAAATCACAGTAAATCCTGTAGTGATTAGTACAGCTGTCATTGTAGTTCAGAGTGCAGGATTTACTGTACTTTTTTAACAGGATCTACTGTACTTTGTACGGGATTTACTGTACCACAGGAGTGAAGTACAGAATATCCTGTAGCAGGTACAGTAGATACTGTAGTCAGGCACGGTAAATCCTGTGTTCTGAACTACAGTAAATCCCGGCAAAAAAAATTAACGCGATTCACTGTGGTTTATTCGCACAGTGCCCCTTCCATAGCCCCTCCCTAGGTAGCCGCCTAAAAGGTAGGAAAAAGTGCTACTTTGACCCCCCCCCCCCAGACCGCCTCTGGATCCGCCACTGCTAGCAACGCGAGCCATACAAATCACAGGGATGCTGCCTGCAAGGCGACGCACGGAGGTGAAATTTTTATTCATAACTCGTAAACCGTTAAGGTGAGATGTGTGTGTGTGTGGTACGTATTTCACGTGCAAAAAACTGCGATGATGACAACACAAGATATGCAATCATTACATAGTTATTTAAGCGGTCTTGCTACCGCTTCTAGCTCTGCATCCGATCCCACTCATCCCATCCCATCCACCCATCCATCCATTCAGCGCGCTCGGAGGGGACTGCATGGTCGTCGTCGTCGTCTGTCGTCGTCCTGCGCCGCCGCGCCGCCTCGCCGCGCCAGTCCCCACTCCTCACAGCCACCCCCACCCTTCTTGCCCCCTCTCTGCCCGGCCTCCCCGGCCGGTCCACGGCAAGACCGCTTTGCTAAGCTTGCCTTGGCGGAACTTTTTGCAAAAATCATTGCAAAATTGTGCGATACTGTAGCTCATCACACCTTTTTGCAATGATCATTACAGAAAAGTACGATGAAATTTGTATTGCGCAAAAATTGCGGTCTGTATCGCAAGTAAAATAACAGTGAACCCTGACGTTTCTCTTCTTCCTTTTCTTTCAGATCCGTCTGTTGATTTGTTAGAGGGCCAGCAGGTGGAGGTTGCCGTCCAGTTGACTTCACAAGACTGGATCCACTTTCAGCTGTGCGGCTCCGAGTCGTGCAACTTGGTCGTCGTGTGGGGGCTAAACCCCTCTGGGGAGCTCTACTACGTCAACTTCACGTCGTGCAACACTGACGGGGACTGGAATACCGGCGTCAGAGGCCCCGATGTAAGTTTTGTCGCTGCATTCATTACGCAACGTAAGGCAACGTGGGGGGAGGGGGGGGGAAAGTTGCCTACTTTTCAGGGGCGAATCTGGTAAAAAATGTATGTTCGAAGCTTAATTTCGCCAAATTGCATACATCGTGCGAGCTGCGTCCTTACTATTTCCATTTCCTGTTTGTGATCAATCCTGCCTGTCTCTGCTTCTGCAGGTGAAACCCGAAGGAGCTGCATACTTTACGCCGGGCCAATACTCGTTTGTGGCGGAGCACCGGTCTTCACAGCTAGTGGTGTGGCTGAATGGGTACCCACAGGGAGCTGGTCTCGTCTCGGCAAACCCACAGCTAAATCAGTTACGCTTACGGGCTGAGAGGGGCACCCCAATGAACGTCACGTTTGAAGGTATACTTGCAGAGGTAGCTCGAATCGCGGTATATTCTTGGCGAGCGCAGCGATACAAGCTCGAAAACCAACAGTTTTTAAAACTATCTTGTCAAAAATTACATCTAGGCATGCTTTCACTGCATATGCAAAGGCGATACTTGAGTACATTTTTCGGCGATACAATTGAGTATCGCCAATAAACGGCCTTACGGAAAAGTATTGCCTTCAGAATGGCGATACACAGGAGTATCGCCAAAATTTGGCGATACTTTTTGGTATCGCCAAAGCCACGGCATTGAACTAGGAACTTGTCCCCTTGATTTGTTCAACGTTTATTGCCAAATTGTGCACTGTAAAAAAAGTATTACTGAAATTTCATAATTTTAGTCTGAAGTTTTTAAACAGACTAGTGGTCTGAAAATTCAGAGTAATTATTCAGACCATTCTGTCTGAATTCCAAATTCAGACAACTTGTCTGAAAAACATTTTCAGACTGCTACTCTGAAATATTAAATAAAAGTGCCATCTACAAATCAAAGAGAAAGAAATCAACAAGAGAACAATATGAACCACCAACGTGTGACGGTACCTCCTTTCTACTTTTCACTTGTTCGCTTCGGCCCGGGTTCGAACCGGGACTTTTTGGTTACGAGACGAGCTCGGTACCACTGCGCTACGGGCGCTGCCTGTCGGCGGGGGAAGCCGTGCCGCGTGACTCTCTTCAGAGGATATCAGCTCCTTTCGGCAAGTCCAGAATGCAAGTTCGGACAACTCTTACGGTTAATCTACCTTACACAGACGAATCTGCGTGAAGCACGGTCGTACATTATTATTTCCGATAAATTTATACAACGCCTTACGCCTAGACTTGATTAGTAGACAATCTGTCAAAATTTTCATACCAAAATTATGAAAACAGGTTTCCGCATGACAAGTCTGAAAACTTTATCAGAATTTTCAGACCTTCTGCTTAGAATTCAGACTAACCGGTGTGATCTCAAATTTCAGAGTTCCTAGTCTGAAAATTCAAAGCAACTTTCTGAATTACCGATTCAGACTGCAAAGTCTAAACAAATTGTACTGAAATTTCAGAATTTTTTTTACAGTGTGGCAATACTTTTGTGTATTGCCGTTCTGAAGGCAATACTGTTTCGTTAGGCCGTTTATTGGCGATACTTAATTGTATCGCCAAAAAAGGTACCAAAAGTATTGCCTTTGGATTTACAGTGTTCGCCTGAAGCAAACATAAATAAGCGCAAGTCCTAAGGCACAAGACTGCTTGAAAATAGACACGGAAAAGGTTAAGTCTCACCGTTTTGTTTTTGCAAAGACTGTCCTGTCCGTTCGTGTAGCCTACTTTCCTAACTACGTAGCGTTTGTAGTAAATGTCTGTTTCTCATCACACTAAATTCTTAGAATTTTAAAGTTAAGAAATCATGTACAGACATACTGCACCTTCTCTGTTGGTTTCTTTCTTTTTTTGCTTCATTGTACTATACAAACTCAAGTGTGTATATGGCATGCTTCAGTTTTATAAGCATGCCTGCAAGTACACTCCACCTGGAGTCAACCTGGCATGTACATACACTCCACGATGGAGCATGCTTGCCAAGTACGCCAGATGGCGCATACCTGCAAGGACACTGTTGCTGAGGTCCCCTGCCTTGTGCATGTAGAGCAGAGCAACTGGGTACAAGTATAGGTAGGTATGTGGCGGCGTGCACTTGGCAAGCATGCTTCAGCCTGAGTTCGTAGAGTGTAAGTAATCCAGGGGAACACAATACACTCTGAGAAAAAATGACGGTAAATCCTGGATAATTTTTTTGCCAAACTTTACCGTACTTCAAAAACCAGTATCCACCGTACAGTCTACAGTATTTTCCGTACTTGTTTTACAAAATATTCCGTAGTTTTTTAACAGTAGTTACCGTTCTTTCGTACAGTGCATGCCGTAGGAAGGACCAGATCTGGTCCCAACAAAGGCCGCTCCCAAGAATTGTCCATGTCAGGATCTTGAAAAAAGGGGGTCGAGCGACTGAAAAATTTTATTGCACCTTTCGATAGGTCTCGTCAAGACCTTTTCAACGAGTGGTCGGAAGGGGGGTCCGGGAGTCCGACTTCAGCAGTTATGTACATCAGAATCTTGAAAAACGAGGGTCGACTGACTGAAATAAATTATAGCAGTTTTTGATAGGTATTAAAAGTACAGGATTGCCGGGTAAAAAAGTACGGGATTCCTTGTAAAAAAAAGTACGGTGTTGCCTGTAAAAAAAGTACGGTATTGCCTGTAAAAATATCAGGAAAAGTAGCGATATACATCGGCAACTTTGGCCCGTCCCGTACATTAAGAGACGTACGAATTTCGCCTATGTTTGACCCTGACGGGAATTAAACCTGAGTCTGGGGTTAAAATAAATGTCGTTTTCGTCATCAGCACCCTCGAAAACATCAAAAACAATGCAAAAACTCGAATAAAAAGAATGTTAAAAAATACTCCGCTGGGATTTGAACCCGGGTCCGAAGTTCTCCGATTCACTCGAAGCTGGCACCATTGGTTTTCTCTCGTCGCCCCGATTCCAAAAATACCCCTACATGCCCTCCTAGCTGCATCCGTTGCCGAGATCCTCCTCGACCCCATGTAGACCATGATGCACCTGCAGCAGCGCCCCCGGGGCTCGGATCGGATTTGCTGCCACCGGGCGGTTCTTAGGGTCACCCAAGGAGGCTGCATACCAAATTTGGTCAAGATCGGACCACGGGAAGTCCTCGGACGGATGGACGGATGGACGAACGGACGCACAGCAGGGATCATACTATATGCCCGTCCCTCCGTCATTTTTTTACAAAAAATAAACGGGACGGGCCAAAAAACGACGGTTTTGCCTGTTAAAATAACAGGAAAAGTAGCGATATACATCGGCAACTTTGGCCCGTCCCGTACATTAAGAAACGTACGAATTTCGCCTATGTTTGATCCTGACGGGAATTAAACCTGAGTCTGGGGTTAAAATAAATGTCGTTTTCGTCATCAGCACCCTCGAAAACATCAAAAACAATGCAAAATCTCGAATAAAAAGAATGTTCAAAAAATACTCCGCTGGGATTTGAACCCGGGTCCGAAGTTCTCCGATTCACTCGAAACTGGCACCATTGGTTTTCTCTCGTCGCCCCGATTCCAAAAATACCCCTACATGCCCTCCTAGCTGCATCCGTTGCCGAGGTCCTCCTCGACCCCATGTAGACCATGATGCACCTGCAGCAGCGCCCCCGGGGCTCGGATCGGATTTGCTGCCACCGGGCGGTTCTTAGGGTCACCCAAGGAGGCTGCATACCAAATTTGGTCAAGATCGGACCACGGGAAGTCCTCGGACGGACGGACGGACGGACGGACGAACGAACGGACGCACAGCAGGGATCATACTATATGCCCGTCCCTCCGTCATTTTTTTTACAAAAAATAAACGGGACGGGCCAAAAAGTACGGTGAAGTCTGGAGTAATCAGTACAGGATGTACCGTGATCTTTTCTCGCAGTGTATAACCTACCACCTGGTCAAAGTATATCTTTTTAAGGATCCGACTGTCTCCCGCTGTAGAGGCACTTGGCAAAATAGGTTCGCCTGAGGGTTGGCCGTCCTACTCTGGGTCCTCAAAGGCTGAGGAAATTTAAGCAATGGCTGCGCGCGTTGTGTGTACAGATAGTACTTGCGCCAGTGACAGTTCCAATTTTCGGTGCGGCGACGGGTCCTGTGTCAGCATCTGGTTCAAGTGCGACGGCTTCAGAGACTGCGCGGACGGCAGCGACGAAAGTGACGACATTTGCGACAGTGAGTGTGGTGTTCACTCATTTTCTAAGTGTAATAATTAATTAGTTTTAAAAGCAATAGCATTTTTATGGCATTAGTAACGCCATGAGAAAGTTATTTCGAGGAATGAGGTCTGAGCGCGAAGACTCCTTCGCCACTCGGCCGCTAGATGGCGCCAGCGGGCGAGGTCGCTATGAAAAATCCAACGTAACGTTCAGCGTCGGGTGCGTCGTGTCCGCAACGCCTACCCTACCGCAACCGTTACGTTGGATTTTTCATAGCGACCTCGCCCGCTGGCGCCATCTAACGGCCGAGCGGCGAAGAAGCCTCCCCGCTCAGACCTCATTGCATTAGCCTTTTTATCGCAGCAAATTGTATGAAACTTATCACATTAGAAATACCAGGGTTGTCGCCTGGAAGCGGAAACTGCTCGTATTTTCTGAAGCGTCTCGTCGGCCGATCTGTCTAGACTGCAGCCACAAAATGGCGAGATTTGTTTGTCACCGTAAAGGTGCATGCGGCGGCCGATAAACCTCGGCCTTTACAGTGGACATACAAGAAAGTCTCGCCATTTTGTGGTGAGACATTTTTGTCTGACCACATTTTGCGGCGAGACTTTCAAGTCTGACCAAAATTGGCGATACAGTACTTTATGTCTCGCCATATTTTGGCGTGAGGTCTTAATTTCCATACAATTTGCAGTGAGTGCACTGCAAAACAATTTTTGGAACAACGCGAGTACTTAAAAACCAAACGTGGCCTAGACCACACCAACTGATGCGGTCAAAATGGCACCCATTAGACCACACTCACACCAGTGGTGTGGACTAGACCCCGTTTGGTTTTTTCAGTGAGTGTTTGGCTGATCGGGGAGTTTGTCCGCAGCGCCGGTGGCGACGGTCAGCGTGGGCGAGGTGGTGACGGTGCGCGTGCAGCACGAGGAGAAGCATGGCCACGTGGACGTGTCCCTGTGCGACAACGCGTCATGCAGCACGCTCGCCCTGTACGGCTCCACGCCGGAGGGGGCCCTCTGGTTCTTCTCCTGGACCGGCTGCAACGCCCTGGGGGCCAACTGCACGGCCGGCGTCGAGGTAACCCATCTACTTACAAGTGGTCGTCAACTTACATCTAGCATGAACGAAGTAATACAGTAATTAATATGGTAATATACGCCCCATATTACCGTGTTTTGGCTGAATTTTCATGCTCACTTTGCTTAAAGTAGTCCATTTGGTAATATTTATGGATTTTTAACGGTAACATACGGGTAATCTTCAAGTAACATGCGAGTTCAAGGCCCCTAGATTACTTGTCCAGTTGTTGAGGGAACCGCCGACAACGCTCTCCTTTCAAGGAGCGTGACATCACGTTGAAACGAACGTGAAAATGTCACGCTGGAATCAGCATCTAGTCGCTTTCGTTTGATAAATCAGCCGTCGCTGTGCGGAGGGAAGTTTTTTACAAATTTGTACATGAATTGGGCACAATTGTTTAAATGCTTTGGCACAATATCAAAATGTTCGCCCGTGTTAACAAGGGGCAATTTTATAATAAACAAATTTGTACGCAACTTCCGTACAAAAACGCCCATTGTTATGGCCAAAAACAACGTAAACAATAAACAGTTATCTCGTCCAATCTTGGATGGTTCCGTAAACACAAAATTGGGTTAGTTTGATGATTTAAACACAAATGATTCAGACACGAAACTTAGTCCTTTGACTCTTTCATTCTCAGTGTGTGCTCAGATTCTTACTTTGCCATTATTTTCCGATACTTTTACTACAATTTGTTGCGATAAAATTGAGTTAGAGATTCCCACTATTTATCGCACCCTGGAGTGCAATTATTTAGTTATTCCAATTTTTTTGCAATAACCACCCCTTAGTCTTTGCGATAAAAGAGCGCTTATAGTAACTCTTATCGCAATTTTTTGGCAATGGCTTTTTATTGCATTTTCTTGGTAGTCATTATAGTAAAAAAGTGATACTTTATTGCTAAATGTAGCTATAAATTTTTATTGCAAAATTCAGCCTGTGGTTATCGCAGTTTGAATTAAACTGTAGTATGTGCCCCCACACAAAACAGGGATAGCAGTGAGCGGTGGGTCCTGCACCTTCAGCGAAAACTGTCTTCCAGGGGAGAGCCGCGCGGGAGCAGCACCCGAATGAACAGCCCTTTTCGTCATTATTTGTCACGGAGTCGCGGTGAAGAGTAGTTCCGGGTTGAGCCGACAAGAATCAACCCTTGGATCAAGTTCATGGGCCTGAGTAACTTCCTCCAGACTCAGTCGGTTGTTTTCTGACTTCGCTGCAGCACTGCGTACATGGTTTCGTTGCGATCTTTGCCCGGCAGGAATACCCGATCGGTCGCAAGTACTTCCCCTCCGGGGAGTTGGTGCTGGCGGTTCAGCGCAGGGCCTCCGAGCTCGCCGTGTGGCTCGACGGCAGCCCCGACTCCGTAGCCAACGTGACGGTCGGCGCCGCCAACAGAAGGCTGCGGGTCCGCCCAATTTATTAAATGGACGAAGGAACAATTTCGTCTTGTTCCGTGCTACTTCTTATATTTCCGGCAACGTCTGTGAATTTAAGGCGAATTACACAACTGAAAGACTACTGTGTTTTCTTCAATGTGTCCCAAGGAATAGTTTTATTGAGAAGTTAGCATCGTAAGGCTTGCTTCGCTTTGAAACTCCGCACAATATTGCAAGTTCGCGCCGGACCAAGTCTCAAGTGCAGTACAGGATTGAAAATAAGGAAATAGTGACTCCAACGCCTCCTTAAAAGTGACACAAAAGTTTCTTTTGGTCTCATTTTTTTTGGTAAGAAACAGATTTAAAAGTGACTCTTGGATGAGTAAGGCCCTACACAAAGCTATAAAAAATAGAATAATTTT